AATGTTATTTATAAAAATAATAAATGCATGATAAAAATTAATACATAAATAAAAATAAACAAATACAGTTCAGTCTCAGGTGCACTAGGCACCCATGAATGCAGTATTTGTCTTAGTTTTCCAAAGCTGCATATGACAGATCAGTTTTAATTGCTTTCCAGAAAGATCTCTAAGCTAGCATTTATCTAATATCCATAAGGTGGAAGGTCATAACATTGTCCCTGCCTCCTCTTAGTCTGAGGATAGCTAATATACCTTCTTGGATGAGCACAGGATGGTTGTACCAGAGAAGGTTGTCCTAAAGATAGCTAGAAGCTAAGCTATGAAACAATTTAAATGAAGAACACAACTCTTTGAATTTACCAGAAACTTATTAGTAGCCAAAACAATGCCCACAGCACAGGTTTAATATGACTGAAATGTCTCTCTTCTCCTAGCACAGTGTGCTGTAATGTATCTGTTAGCAATAAGAGCATGGTTGTAAAGAAATGTGGAGATAACCTTGATAAAGGAATAAATGAGCCTTTAGAAGAAGCAAAAACAATGACTCATTCCTGAGAAAATAGAAGGAAACTCAAAATAATCACTCTTTAATTCTGTTTGGTAGTAGAGAGGACAGAGAGAGCCTCTGGGCAGCTTTCAAGATTCTGCTGCATTCCTCACAACAATAAAATAGCATTCCTTTAATTCCTGTTTGCTACCTTAAAAGGATGGACAATGAATTACTTTCATCCAATCTTCTTGCTCCAAGTAAGGCTATGACTGGCACAGTACCCAAGACTCAAAAGGTCCCCTTGGCCACAGTTGTCACTTTCCCATTTAGCTATGAGTCATGGAGAACATTCTGCTCTTTTGGGAATGGGGATGGATGAGCAGTAGCACCCCATTCAAAGCCATAACAACACCAGACTGAGGACTGGGTGGTCTTTGTATGAACAGCTACTTTATCCTTTTGGGGATTCAATTTTGGCTCAGGACCACAACTCACAAGTTTCACCAGCATTGTCAACCTAGAATGGCGGTGTATAGCTATGTATGCAATCAAGGAAAGACCCATCCTATGCTCCAATTTAATATAAATATATTGTTCTTTTTAGCATTCTGTGGAATATTAAAATTGTTCCACAAATGTCATTTCAACTTCCATCATCTTCTGTTGCTCTGGTATGTATCAAAAACTGAAACAACCAACCCAATGATTGTTGGATGGACTATTCCAAAAGGTGACAGTGGTTTTGTAGATGAATAATGTAGGTGTCAGCCTGTGAGAATAGCAAAATTCTAAATGACAGTATCTTGAGTTTGCCCTTTTTTGCACTGTTCTCCGGTATGCTGGCTCTGCTGAAGCTGAACCTCACTGAATTTTCCATTTCCATTTCCATTTCTTTGTGTGTGTGTGTGTGTGTGTGTGTGTGTGTGTGTCTAGATCAGATTCAGTGGTACAATATGGAATGTCACATTAGCTCATATATGTCCTCATGTATCAGATTGCATTAGTCTGCAACTCTTTGTTCAAATATACACCTCAGCTAGCAAACACTGAGAATTTTATTTCTACCATATAATCTTTTTAAAGTGCATGACTTGAGATAGTTATGGGAACCTAATTTTATTTTATGACATGTATGAGCTAATGTGACATTCCATATTGTACCACTGAAGCATGACATTGCACCATATGTTAATCACGTTTATCTGCTGTAATAAAGCACACATTCGAATATCCACATTGCCTATAGGAGTGAGGTACGTCTCTAACCATCAGGGTTATCTTAGTAAAAAGAAAATGAACTTTCCACCTCTTCAAAATACTGCATATTGTTTTCTTTTCTTTTCTTTTAGATTTCTGCATTGCAATAATAATATGGCAAACTATTTTGAGGCCACCACCCAGGGAGAACTTTAATTTCTTTTCACAGAAACAGAATCTGTTTGGCTAATATTGAATCTGAAGTCTAAATTGTTCAGCTGCAGAGCATAAATCAAGTGTTGTGGCTGAACCTTGTCCAGATGCACTGAAAAATCAACAGAAATTGTAATAGGAACTGGGCTGAGAGGAGCAAACAGAGGAAATATATATGCCTTGTTTATGTATTAAAAGGGGAGGAAGATCAACACACAATTAAAAGAGAGAGAGAGAGAGATTATAGCCAAATGCAGGGTTTTAAAAAATAATCATCCTGATACTCAAAAGAAAACCTGCTAAACAAGCTTCCATTCTGATTAAAAAACTGTAGAGGGTAAAAAAAAAAGTCCTGTGGAGGAGTGGTCGCCAACCAGTGGGCCGCGACCCACTGGTGGGCCATGAAAAATATTTGCTTCCGTATTCACCTTTCTTCTTCTTATGTGGTATATGCCATCATCTCTCACCATCATCTCTCATCATTATCATCTCTTATCTCTGCATTCTACATAGAAGAAAGATTAGTTGTAGGGTATCAATGTGTGGAGATATAAAAAGAACAATACATAGGGAAGGCAGATACAATCTAGGTTTGATAAAGACTCTAAAGCAGAAGGTATTTATGATAAGTTGACTGATTTAGATAAAATTTTGATGGGTACTGATGAAAAGGTAATTAAAAAACTTTATGGACATCTAATAGATTTTAAATTGGAGGAGGAACAAGTTAAAGAAACAATGATTGCTTGGGGGGGGGGAATTTGGATATGGGAATGATTTAGAAAAATGGCAAAAATTGTGGTCTCAAAATTATAAAATGACAATGTCAACTGTATATAAAGAAAATTTGTATAAGATGTTTTATAGGTGGCCCCTACCCCCGACGAGACTTGCGAGAATGTTTAAGAATAAATTGGATAAATGCTGGAAATGTCATCAGATACCTGGTTCATATTACCATATGTGGTGGACATGTTCAGACACAAAGAAATATTGGACTAAAATCCACACATGGTTGGAAAAAATGATAAAACAACGTACAGACTTTAAACCAGAGATCTTTTTATTGGGAGTCATACCAGACATATATAATAAAGAATTAAAATATTTGATTGTAAATGTTTTAACAGTGGCTAGAATTGCATTTGCAAAGAACTGGAAAATGACAAAATACCTATGCAGGAGGAAGTTACTAAAAAAATTATGGACTGTGCTGAAATGAGTAAACTGACATTTGAAATTAGAGAACAAGAAGACAAGCAATTTTATATGATATGGGATTTGTTTTATCAATGGTTGGATAAAAAGACATGGTAATGAAACAGAATAGATAATTTTGTTATAGAAGCTTAATAGATTGATACAAAATATAATGTAGACATAATAACCATTGGATGACAGCATAATACAATATTGATGGAATAAATAGCAGGATAATTAATAATTGATAAATAGATAAGTATATGTTAGTTTGACAATGTGAGATTGATATAAATTGTGAACAATGATTATGAACGGATCGCACAAAAGATTCTAAACCAACTGACACACTGTATGTATAAAATAGAAGATGGTTTTATGTTTTTTTTTAATGTATTGTCTGTATATGTTTGTCTTAAAATTAAAATATATATATATAAAAAAAGTCTCAACATCTTTTTTTACATCATAGCAACCAAAACTGGATGCAGTGTACCAAGTGTGGTCTTACCCAGGCATTATAAAATGGTATTAACATTTCATGTGATCTTGATTCTATCCCTCTGTTAATGCAGTCAAGAACTGTATTGGCTTTTTTTGGCAACTACAGCACATTGTTCACTAATATTTAAGTGATTGTCTACTAGGACTCCAAAATCCCTCTCATAGTTACTACTACTGAGCAAGGTACCATCTATACTGTATACTGTGCATTTAGTTTTTCTTTTCTAAATGTAGAACCTTACTTTTTTCACTATTGAATTTCATTTTGTTAAATAGCATGCAATGTTCAGGTCTGTCAAGATCCTTCTGTATCTTAAGCCTATCTTCTGGAGTGTTGGGTATTCCTGCCAGCTTGGTGTTGTCTGCAAATTTGATGAGTTCCCATCTATTCCCTCATCCAAATTATTGATGAAGATGTTGAAGAGTACTGAGTCTAAAATAGAGCCTTGGGGTACCCCATTCAGAGGTGCTATTCAGCAGGTTCTGACCAGTTCTGGAGAACCAGCAGCGGAAATTTTGAGTAGTTCAGAGAACCGGCAAATGCCACCTCTGACTGGAAATTTTACGGTATCCTTCCCCTGCTACGCCCACAAAGCCACGCCCACAGAGCCGGTAGTAAAATAATTTTAATCCCACCACTGACCACATTGCATACGTCCCTTCGTGCAGATGCAGATTTAAAGATATCTGTTGTAGAAACATCATTTTGTGAACTAGTTGGATTGTCAGTTTGACTACTGTAAACCATTACAGGAAAATCGCCCAAAATGTGGATTTATGATCCACTCTGTTAGGAAAATAAAAACTTTCTACCTGAAGTCATAAAATTCTGATAGTTCATTTATTTAATTGTCAGGTTTAATTTTAATACGAATTTTACAGGGAATTTCTTTTAAATTCAAGAAACCATCTTAAATTCAAGGGATGATTTTGACATATTCAAAATACTGTTTGCTCTGTTCCTAAAAAAACACACCAAAAAAAAAAAAAATATATATACCCCAAAATAACTTTTCTTGTTTTTCTTCTCAGAGGAAAACATATAAAGAAAATCTTTCTTAAATTTAAAATACTATTTTCCTTGGGTGTTAAGCCATGTACCTAATGGCTGTATTGTAAATTTGGTCAATAGTTTGGATCCATCTCTTGGGTAATTGAAAGGCTTTTCAGATAACAATTAGATTTGGTTTTTAGGATATAGGCAAATACTCCGATCCACATAATTTCAATGCTTTATTTAGTTCTACAATCAAAGAAAAATATGATATAAATATTTCTTAGTCACTGTACATCATAGTTATGAGTTATTATTGGAACATCTTTAATTAATAGATGGTTTTATTTTCACTAGATATTTTTTCATATAAATAACAAATTGCTTCTCTTTACTTAGGAAGTGAACTTTAATTTTTTATTGTGTTACCTTGACAACTCCCTCATAAATTAACCATGTCCACTTTGTGAAAAAGAAAAGTTATTGATTACAAAGAATCTATGGAGCCTACAATTTCTTATTAAAAGGTGAGCTAAACTTCCTGTCATTTTAAAAATGAAAACTTTTTTTTTTTTAATAAGCCTTTGGAAATGCAAAGGAGTCCCAAGTGGTGTCGATGTTTCAGAGATAAAGAACAAATTGGTGCCAAAAGTTTGTTTTAAATAAAAGCCTGTTGTAAATTTGCTTTGATTAAAGAACCAAGTGTGAAATAATTCATACTTTTACATGGATCTGATAAATATTGAAAGCTTGTTTTCTACTCACTTTAAAAATAAAATAAATGGATTCTTCTCAAATACATACATTAAGAATGTTTTTAAAATTGCTTGGTTATCCCTAAGAAGAGTCTTGCTATGATTCCCAAACTTCCCCAAAAGCCCAAAAACTTTAACCTTAGACTTAAAAGTTGCCTCCAACTTTTGCAAGTCTTAAAGAACGTTTCTATAAACAAGGGCAAAAAAGGTACGTGTGAAACTTCAGGTGGAATCAGATACCTATGGAAAGTTAGACTGTCTACTATTGACCTCACCCCCTTCCTAAGAGGCCTGTAGGGGCATGCATAAGTGCACCAATCGTGCCTACCGTGCCTGTCCTATTGTTTCTTTTTATTTTTCTTATAAGTATCTATCTCATGTATTCAAAACTATGTTTATTCTTATACCTGTATCATGTAAGCGATTGACAAATCAAATAAATACTAAAAATACAAAATTTGTGTCACTCCTGGTATTTTGACTACTGCTGTCTTCATTTCTAACTTTGACCCTGCTGGCTTTATGTGCAACCTAGAGAGAGCTAGGAGAAATGGGGAAGGGGTTGCCAAAAGCTGCTGGTTGTGTTAAGTAATCAGCTGATGCTTTGGAAAGAGTTAAGGAGATGGGAAGCGTGGGGAATGGAAATGACTTGGGAACCAACACTGAAATAGTAACTAGAAAAATTGAGCAAGGTCATCCGATACATTATTATGCATAACATAACTGTTGCGAGAATAGCCTTTGCACAGGGATGGAAGAAAGAAAAGATACCATCTGAAGAAGACTTGACACAAAAAAATAATGGATTGTGCGGAACTGGATAAATTCACAATGGAATTAAGAGGCAAAGATAGGTGGTACAAATGGGTGGAGGATAGAATTAAGAGCTGATGTTTATGTATAAAAGGAGAGGTATGTATTAATAATGACACGAACACTGTTAATGTGAATAGAGATTGGTATTCTTGTTTTTAAAAAATTAAATAATTAAAAAATAATAAAATAAAATTTAAAAAATGAAATAGTAACTAGAAGTGGGAGCTGTGGAATCTCTGCAGAAGTGGAGGACTAAATAAAATAATCTGACCCTGACATCTGATCTGATCTAGCATATCAGTTGTCTACTGGGCACAGGCTAAGTGTGGTATTGAATGTAAAGCTCTGTTTTATTAAGGTTTGATTATCCAAGGGAGGACTCTTTTTCCATGCAGCAGTTTTTTAGACCAGGAGAGGAAACCTTTTGGAGGAGTCCGATCAATCCGGTACATGGGGTAAACTCTTGTCTTCTATCATCATCTTCTTTTAATGACCTCATAATCCCTTGTGGGGTGGAGTCTGGGCAACTGAATGGAGCTTAATATTTACTGGCTAGATGCCTTTCCTGTCACCTAGGAGGAGTTTTATTCAGCAAATAGTCTCATTGTGCCCAGAGAGAGAAATATCTGCCTCTACCTAGGATCCAACTCTCAGCCTCCTGATGGTGAGGTAAGAGCTTCCACCTCTAGGACACCGCATCACTTATAAGTATGGCACCTTATAAATGCATTTGGCCATTACTTTCCAAGTATTTTGCCAAACTTTGTGATGAGTCACCCTTACTTTTGTGGGAGATCTTTTTGTTTTGTTTTGTTTTGCTTTGTTGTGTGGGTTTTGAACTTACCTGAATGCTTAATGGGCTTTCTTCTTTTTGCTCTCCATTGAAAATGGGAGGAAAACTATAGTTTTGTATTTGGCACTTCATTACTAGGTTTAACTGGTTCCAAGTGACTAGAAAAATGGATCTGAGGGATCTGCAGATCAGCTGTGGATTGCCCAATACTGTATTAATGGTAGGGAAGGAAACTTCGCATAATCAGATATTATTGAATCAGGGAACGGGACCCATACAGCAATAGGTTTTTTTTATGACACTTTCATTGTTTTCTTCGTTTTTAATTCCTATTTTATTTTTTAATTGCTATGAGTGACCTTGGATGTCAGAAAGATGAGACACACATATAATAAATTAATGAAAGATGAAGAAAAATGCATGCAAAATCTCAATATTAGACAAGGGGAAAAAAGGGGGAAAAAGATTTTTTTAAAAAAGAATATGGTTAAAAAAAATTAATGGTTTGGAATAATATGTGAAAACCTCCTGTATTGACATAGACTGAATTAGGCTAATAGGTGCATTTCTGCTCAATAGAATAACTTTACTCAGTCATTTAATTTGACACAGAGCAGTCTAGCCAGTTAGAATCTGTCATTTTACCCACTATCTCCCAAGATTATCATTTGAATGGTACAAAATGGTGTTTCTCCATGGAAATTAATTTTATCACTTTGTAATATAAGTTCTGGTTTTAGCTCTGTTCTTCTCTCCCAATGCAATAAAGTGGGAAGCAATGTAAATCATTCAGTGGGAAAGGGACATAATGATACAGAAGGACAAACCTAATGTGCAGGATGGGTTAGAATGGCATAAATGGGTCTCATGCTGATAGGTTGAATGTAGTGGAAGAAGGGAACCCAAAGTCATTGTAAGAGATTTTTTTTACCTGTGAAGGGGGAAGGGGGAAATGTTTGGAAACTTTTTTCTCAGAGAGAAAAAAAAGTCTAGTAATCTCCAGCAGTAGAAAAGGGGGAATACTTTATTTGCAAAGACCGATCACTTTGCTAAACTTTAAAATGGAAAGCAAAGCACAGCAAGCCACAATGCCCTGAAATAATTCCCTAATGCATGACATGTATCTCTCTCCAAGTTCCATGTTCTGGATGGTCATCCCAGTTTGACTTGGTCATACATATGGAAGTTTAGTATGCCACTTCAGGGGCATTTTTAATTTGATCAGCAAGCAGTGGCATCAGGCACCCACTTATGGATAACATTGTTTACCTAACTTAGTTTGGGTAAAATAATATATAAACTATGTTAGTGAGTTTAAGTGTATGTATCACTTTAAACTATAAACCAAGTATTTTGGGTGCTGTTGTAACATCACCATAAGAGGGAGCAAGAGAGCTCACTATTTGCCTTGGCTTTTACTGGAATGCTGACAATGATAAATTAATGGTGATAACTGCGTGTTTGCTGAGAGAAGAAAAGGGGTTTGATTTTTTCTTCATATCTCTGACTGCAAAAGAGATATATCACTGGACTGATTGATTGTAAGTTTAATGAACTCTTTTTCGACACTGGACTTTGCAAACTGAATAACCCCCGGACTGACTGAATTTAGTGTATGAAATATGGACCGTTTGACTATGTTATAACTCTTGCTGGAATAAAAACTATTTAACTTGCACAGTGTATCTGTCTTACTAAGTGTAAGCTACTACAACGTTTTGTCTCACATATCTGCCTGCCTGCTAGACTGCCGTTGCACGTTCTGCTAGGGTGTATATCCCTAACAGTGATCACTATTATAATTCTCTCAACTACCTTGTAGTCCTGTGGCGTTTCTTTTGGGCATAGACAGCTGCCCATGATGATCAGAATGATGCTGCAACTCTTGTCATGCAAGGAATGAATGAATGAATGAATGAATGAATACATAGGCTTACCTTGTACACGTTCTGTTTGGTCCTCTATGAATATATGCATTTGAGAGAAAAGTATTTGCATTTGTTTTCACATGCCTTTTCATGGGTATTGTAGTTTTATAAAAGTTTTTTCCAAGGATGCACACTGTTTTGGTGTAATTTTTCTGTAGGTAGTTTTATGTCTGTCAGGGTGTTACTTTGGTATGGCTGTTGTAGGCTTCCTTGCAAAAGTATGCATTTGTGAGTTCTAAAAGTTTGAAATTCCCCCACGCAATTATAAATGTACAGGTTTCAACACATCAAAGCAACCCAGGTTTTTTCTATATATTTGGCAAGTCCAAAATAAATATTGTCTTCTAAAAATGCTCATGTTTGCTTTTTTCCCCCCACCCCTTAAGGGAGAATTTGTAACAGATTATCTGCCAACAGAGTGGTGCCAAAAAGTCCAACATGGAATCTGGAGACAGGAATTCTTTGCATGCACGCAACCAGTCAGAAAACTAAGAAAGGATCTCTAAGCTTCCAAAAGACACAACTATATTAATTAATAGACAATAAACTGGATGGGCACTTTGTGGAGTCTTCCTCAAAATGTTTTATGCTCTCTTACTATCTCTTTTCTTTAAGCTAATTTCTTGTACTGTAAGATCAAGAAATTTCTTGTACTGTAGGATCAGGTTTTCAGTTAATAAAAAAATCTGTAGTTATAACAGACATGCTAGTAACCATTCTTATTTCAAGGCATAGAAATAATAAGAGCAGTTTCATTGTAAAAATCTAACCTTATCCATTAGATCTTTACAAAAATTCAGACGGGTGCTTCATTTTAACAAAGCTCCATGTGAAGTACTCCTCTGAAGCTGCTTTGCCAAGCAACACATTATCCCTGGTTTTAGTTGCCAGAAGAGATTCGAGGCAATAAAACACCTATAGTAGATTAGGAGAATAGCTTGGCTCCTTGGCTAACACAGGCCTATTATCCATTGGGTGACTCATTTCAGAATAGAAGGGGGCAGATGGACATCATAGTAGATAAAATGCAGGAACTAATTATTGGCAAGAACAAGTATGTGAATTGTTGTGATGTTTGAATGCCACAGGCTCAAATTATGCTAAAACTAATGCAATGAGGCAGAAGCAGTAGAAATTCCCAAGCAGCTATACAGGTTTACATCAAGCACAGTGATGGATGATGATGTGCTTTTATAAAACAATAAGAGCATCTATTACAGGGAATCAGGGCAATT